GTATCAGAGTGTTCCATCTCATTTCCCTTTGGGGTTGCTGTAGGTGATCTGGAAGTCTGGTTTTGAGACTTATTTACATGTTTTCTCATTTTGACTGGGGGGGCAAGTGGGGTGCTGTTGGCGCTGTGTGGCTCACCTCCTCTGAGCTGGGAGAAGAGGCCAGGGGCCAGGAATGCTGGTAGGGATGGTGGCCCGGAAGCCCCTTCCTATGGACCAGGAGCAGTGAGAGGGTGACTCAGAAGCCCCTACCTCTGGGCAGGAATTCTTTAAATACTGAGAACTTGATTAGCTCCAGTACAGTGGTCTGGTGGTCCGGTGTCCTCTCCATCTTTGTAGTGTAGAACCAGGTGGCTGTCTGCAGCGGGCTGATTCAGTGTTTTCAGCATGACTCTGCACTTAGATTTTTACTAAAGTGTTATTTAGCATTAGAGAAAAGTTGTTTAATGAAAGAAAAATATTAGACAAAAATCAGATTAATCCTCAAAAGCCTATTTAAATTTTGTGGTATAGTATGTTGCACCCATGATAAAATAAAATATGTTTTCTCAGTTTCATCTCTAGACACTGAAAAAGGACCAAAGACATGTAAAGACCATGACTGTGAATATTTCAAAAGACTATCTAAGGTATGTTATTTTTGACAATATAAAAAAAGAGAAAAAATTCAATGAATACCTCAGTGTGTAAGCAAGCATTTTATCTATTCATAAAATACATCAAATTCCCAATTAGGAATGTGATAGTAAAATAAAACTTCACCCAAAAATAAATATTTGCCTATCACTTTTTTTTTTTGGTACTGGGTATCAAACTTGGGACCTTGCGTTTGCGAGGCAGGAGGTGGAACCACTGAGCTAAATCCCCGGCCCCCAAAAATAAATATAAAATGAATATAATTTATAGTTTATAAAATACTTTCATATTAAATATGATTGATTATATGAAGAAGAATTATTTTTCATTTATTTGGTCTTATTTGCTATTTGTATTAATTTATTTTTCAAAGGAAATCATAGCTGTCATTCTCTCCAGTTTTTTCAGTTTCCAATAGATGCTTGCAAGTTAACCTTACACCGTGCCACTTGCTAAATTGACATGTGAGTTACAGCAGCTGTTTTATAGATTGCTTCGGATTTTTGTGTCAATATTTGTATCACATTCAAGGAGACACAGGTTACTTCTTTCCCGCCTCTCTGCCTTTCTCCCTTACCTGATCTGGTTTGAATCAATGGAGTCTATGACATAGCATTAAGTAGAGGTAGCAAGAGTGGCCATCTTCCTCTTGTTCTGGTCTCCAGGGCAGAGCATTTAGTGTCAGGTATGGTGTTAGCACTAGGTTTTCATAGATACCACTTATCAAAATGAGGGAGTTCTCTCTTGTTCTTTATTTACTGGACTATAGTATGAATGCTGTTAAATGTTGTCTAAAACTTTTTCTGATTTTATTGAAAGAAGCATGTATCTTCATCATATTTGTTAGTGTTTTATTAAAGATTTTTCGGCTTCCCCTCCTGTCATAAACTTTCTATTCTGTGAGATATATATCATAGAACCTGTGATCATGTTTTAGAACTGCCACAACAGTAGCTATGAAGACATTCATACATCAATCATTTCAGCATTTTCAATTGAAAACTGTGAAGATAACTTTAGGTTAACATGTAATTACAAGAATAATTCCAATACCTTCATTGTGCATTTTTCAAACAGGTGGTACACTAACACAACAGCGGATTGTTGACTTTGCTATCGTTTAATGCTCTCCTTTAACTGCTCTCAGTTTGCCTATTTTCATTTGTGTGGATCAAGTAGTATACAGTTGCATCACTTGTGTAAGATCCTGTATCCACGACTGTAGTCAAAACATAGAACAATTCCATACCACCAGCATCCAAGTGCTGCCTTCCTGTATCACACCTCCCTTCCTTGACTCTGTCCTGCCATTTGCCTAATTCCTAGCATTCACTATGCTGTCCACTATTTCTAAAGTGGCATGATTTGAAAAAATTTTCCTGGAGATTCATTCAAGATGGTACATGTATCAGTGGTTTGTTCCTTTATATTAGCGTACCTTAATGCATGTATCACAGTGTTTTTATGTACTGCCCTGTTAGAGACCTTGTTTTTTGACTGCTGCAGTCAAAGCTTCTGTACATTTCAGGCTTTTATGAAGAAATCACATTTGGGACATTAATTCTGGGTTATATTATAATTGATTTTACATTCCTCCCAGCATTGAGTGAAAGAGGAGTTTTTCTGCATCTTTGTTGCCATTTGGGGCTGTTAGTATTATTCATGGTAGCCTTTCTAATAGTCATGTAGTTTTATTTGCATCTTTGTAGAGGTCAATCTATTAGCCATCTTTTCACATGCGTATTTGCCACCTGTACATCTTGAGTGAGTTTCTGTTAAATGTCTCATTTTCTAGTTTAATTTTTTTAACTTCTGAGTGCAGAGTTCATAGAATCTAGATAATATTCCTCTCACCAGTTTGTTATTTTTAAATATTTATTGTTAGACTGTAGCTTTCTTTTCCTCATCTTCACATGGATTTTCACAGAAGAGAGCTTTTTAATTTTTATGACATCTGTTGTACAAATCCCGCTCCCTTTATTTCCTCTTTTGGTATGAAGCTTAAGAACTGTTTGAATACTCTTGCATCCTGAAGATGCAAGACCCAATTTTTGGACCCATTTTTTAAAGTTTTACATTTTCAATCAAAGTCACAATTTCTAAAATTTTTGTGTAAGTGTGGTATTTAGCTAAAGATGTTTTTATTGCTGTTTTCCTGTGACTATCTCATTTACCCAGAACTATGTGCACTTCCTCCATTGCATAGCATTGGTATGTTTGTTAAAGTATAGTTGAGCACATTTGTGTGGGTTTATCTTTGACAGTAGCACAGACTGTGTATTTGACAAATACCACAGTCTGAGTTGCTTAAGTAACAGAAATTTGTTGTCTTATGATCCTGAGTACTGGAAGTCTGAGATAAAGGTGTTGATGGAGTTGGTTTCATCTGCCTTCTTTACCTGTGGACAGCTGTGTATCCAGGACCTTTCCCCGAGTGCATGTCTGTGTCTTCATCTCTTTATAAGGACACCAAGCAGATTAGGGTTGACGTCGATGGTCTCCTTTTACCTTTATCCTAACTTTAAGGGCCTGTGTCTATTGTGTGCCTCCAAATACAACCACTTTCTGAGTCTCTGGGGGTTAGGACATCATCATAGGTGTTCGGAGAGAGAGCATAATCCAGTCTGTTGGAGCTAGGGTTATCAAAAACTAGTGAACCGCTTATGGGATGTTTGTATTCTTCCTTTATTCCCCTCAAAGCATTGTCACACTGAATGTCACTGAAATATTGCCAGCTCTACTGACAAACTTATAGGTGAACTCGAGCACAGCAATGCTTTGCTCTCAGCCTGATTCAGGGGCTTGTCCCGGAGGTCACCCGATGCTTCTGTTGCCTTTCCTGAAGCAGAGTTAGTTTCCCTGACAGCATTTGATACAGTAAATAGTAGATTTTTATTTCACAAGAGTACTAACCAAATGGGCGTGTCTATAAAAAAGTCTTTAAACAAGTGCTTCACTCAACTCGTGTTAAATTGTCTCATCTCTCAGTGTGTTTAATCAACACAGGTACAAACATGTCTTGTTATGATTGCTTTAAGAAAAATAAACATTCTTTCCTTGGGACAGAGAAACACCATAAAGGATGTTTAATTCTTCTTTACTTTCTGACAGCTTGGAATTTAATTAATAAAATCTGAAATTAGAACATTAAAGATAAAGTGTGTTTTCATGCTATTTCCATTTTGGGGACTAGCTCTTTGGTATAGTTTCATAGTGGCTGTGTTGTGAGCTGTAAAATTCAAACATACCCAATGATGCTTACTGGTATTGATATTTTGCTACTTTCAATGAAATGTAAAACCTTTACTTCCATTTACTTTTATCTGCCTTCTCCACTTGAAAAACTGTCATTGTCGCAACCATTCCCTCTGTGCTCCTTGTGTCACAGCAGATGGTGTCAGGAGGTTTGCCTCAGATTTGGTGAGGAGAAAGCTAGCGACTGGCAATGATAATTTCATGTCATCATGGCTGGACTGGAGGGTGCCCAGCAAGCAGAGGGAAACCACTTCTCTGGCTGTAGCTGTGGGATGTTTCCGGGAATGGTTAGCATTTGAGCTGGTGGACTTAGCTGAGTAAGGAAAATTGCCCAAGTCCATGGGGTGGCATCATCCAGATGGCTGAGAGCTCAGCTGGAAGATGAGGGCAGCTGAGGGAGTTCTTATGTATGGGTTGCAGTGTCCACACCGCCTGCCTTTGGACCCTGGCACCGCCAGTTCTGGGCCTTGGGACTGGAATGAGGAGGAATTTCAGTCTCACCTGCAGCTCCCCCACCCACTGGCCTTCCTGGTCCTACAGCAAATTGGGGGGCTTGTGGCTTTGTAGTTATGTGAGCCTATTCCTGTAATGAATCTCAGCAAACACTAGGCCATTTTATATAAAGGAGTCAAGCATCTGCAGAATTCCTTGCCGTATGAGCCACTATTACATTGCATGGTTAGGGAATAACGGCAAGATAGAAGTCTGCACCTGTCCAGTCCAAATGCATTGTTTGAGAAATATTTTCAGTCTGCAGTAGGTTGAATCCACAGGCATGGAACTTGTGGATAGAGGGCCTTGTGTGTGTGTGTTATTGATCCTATTCTCTGGAGAACTCTGAGTAATACAGTTTTTGGTGACAAGAGTGATTCTGGTGGAACAGAATGCTAAGGATGAGTTTTAGGAGTTGGCTCTGGGTTTTCCAGGGTTGGCTTTCTAATCTGATTAGAGTTAATAACACTAGTGACTGACTACAGTCAGAAAGACATGGTCTGTGGTGTGAACTGTTCAGAGAAACATGGAAGTTCTGCACTGCATGCTCCTAATCAACCACTTTAAGAGCTAGTTGATTTTGTGCATGATGCTTTCGAGCAGTTTTGGGAAAATGAGGAATATAATAACGTTTCTTGGTTGCTGCTAATGTCTCTGGATAAAGTAATAAAAGTAAAGACAGTCTCAGAATTCAGACACCCCAACCAGCAGCACATAAATGACTTGCAGTTTCCTAGGTGTGCCTTCAAGGAGAGCCTTAATGTCAACTGTGGGCTGACATTGCTGAAAAGCAAATGCAGAGCTGCCTCCTGTGCTTGGTCGAATCACAGAGCAGCTTGGTCCTCCCTGCCTCCCGGGATAGGCACTAAGGGGAAGGCTGACTGGAAAATGGGGTCCTATAAGTGGGGATGGAGACAGAGTGTGAGCAGTACTGACAAAATTGAAGTCGCCAAGCCCTTTTCTTCCGATGAGTCCTCTGATCAGTGTACCCCAACTACCGCAAAGCGGCCTCTCCAGCCACAGTGCTTGTGGATGCTCTGCTCACAGCAATACCCAGCTCTGCCTGAGGAGATGGCAGTGGCCTCTCCTAAAGCACTTATCATGCAGAATAGTGCCGATTCTCCCTGGGATCCAATCCAACAACTGGGGCAGTGCCAGCTGAGCAGGGAGAGAGAGGGACATCTCCTTTCTGCCAGGCAGGAGTGGGGCCCTTGAGTCCCTTGTGTGTTCCTTACTCACAGAGAGC